AGAGGAGCCGGGGGGGGGGGATGGGACAGAAACTGGAGGAAAGGTGGGGGGGGGGGGGGGAGAGGGGGGGTGGGCCCAGCTCGCCAGCACTGGCTCTGGGACTTTCTTCTTGGGTTTCAAGTAAACAGTCTGGGCCCTCCTCCCATCCCCTGCCTCCACCCCCAGCTCCTCATTCGACGGGTCTCATGTGTTTCTATTTAAGGGTTGCGAGTAAGCCCTAGTGATTGGCGGCCTCAAACCCTCTTGACTCTTTGCTGGACCTAGGCTGTGGAGAAGTTCTCTCCCTCTCCCTCCTGAGGGGAGCCCTGTTGCCTTTTCTCTCTGGGTTTACAGGCTTGGGGTAGAAGCAGCAGGCCTCCTGGGCCTGCCCCTCGCCTCTCTTCTTTCTCCCCCCTGTGCTGTGCTCTGGTCTCAGCCTTCATGGGCCGCCTACTGTGCTCCTGTGGCCCTCCTCTCACACCCCAGCCAGCCCGAGAGTCTGGAGAGCCGGGAGGCCCCAGGCCTCTCTGCAGACTCCCGCATGCCGGGCTGTGACTAACTTCACACGCAGCAGCAGGCTTTCCCCTCAATTCCCTTGTCTTCCATCTCTGCCTGTCTCTGCCTCTCTCCACCCCCTTCTCCTCCCCCGTCCCCTGGCTCCCCATGTCCCCCGGTCCCCGCGGTGCAGCGGGCCGGTGTGGGGCCTTGCTATATGGCCTGTCCTTGGGGCCCAGCAAGCTTCGAGCCCTGGCTACGGGCTGCTCCTCGGTGCAGCGCTGGCGACCGAGCAGCCTCCCTCGAGGGCGATGGACAGAGGGCGCCCCGGCCGTGGGGCCACGGCCGGCCGCTGGCTCACCGCATGCTTTCTGCCCTCGCCAGGTGCCGACACCAACGCCGAGCCCATGATCCTGGAACAGTACGTGGTGGTGTCCAACTATAAGAAACAAGAGAACTCGGAGCTGAGTCTCCAGGCCGGGGAGGTGGTAGATGTCATCGAGAAAAATGAAAGTGGTGAGTGCCTGGCCTTCGGCTGTCCACTCCTGGTTCCAGCCTGGCTCCTGGGCCTGGCTGGGTTTTTGTTCCTCTCCTCCTCCCCCCACCTCTGCAGCTATACGTTATTTCCATCTGGCAGGGAGAGGGCCGAGGAGTCTGAAGTTCCCCTGTTGGTTTGGGCTGCAGGCCAGCAGTTTGCCTGGTGGTGGAAGAATGTCTCCCTGGCTTGAGGCTAATTAGCCAGCTTGTGCTAATGTAAGGCAAGGTGGCTGCAGAAGCATCCATTCCCTATTCAGGACCTCATGCCCTCTGAGGCCCAGAGGAGATAGTAGCTTTAGCTCTAGTGCCCAATGACAGCTTCCCCAGTTGAGCTATCTGCCAGGATCCAGACAGAAGTGGGAGGACCCAGCCAGCTGGTGGAGAAGACAGGCCATGCCATGACATCATAATGGGTTCCAGAGTCCCCAGACCCCTGGCTAGATGTCCGAGGAAGGGCCAGGCCTGTGGGAGGTTGGCTGGTGGCTGGGCAGTGAGTGGGTGGTGAGCTAACTGCCCCCCCCCAAGCTGAGCTACCAGGACCTGGGAAGAGGGCCCAAGCACTGGATAAAGCCAGGTCCTGGAGCCAGGAGGGGTCCTGCAGCAGCCACTTTGTCATTAGGAACTGACATAGGGACCATACCCATGGCTTCCCAGGGTCTGCTGGTTCCAGAGTTCTTGCAGAGTGGACAAAATTCCCTTGGTATCCTTGGCAAAAAAAGGCACAGTAAATGGAGAAAAGAGGGGTCCAGAGTCCCCAGACCCCTGGCTAGATGTCCGAGGAAGGGCCAGGCCTGCGGGAGTCTGTCAGTCCCATGTTGCAGGCACATAAGGCTCCTGAAGAAGGGCCAGAAGGTTCTTGAAGCCACAGCATCCCCAAAGCTTGCCCACAGCCAGCTCCAAAGTCTCGACTGGGGCTTGGAAAGATTCAAGATCTTGTTTTGGTTTCAGTTTGCTGGGGGCAGGCCTTGTGTATAGGTGCACCCCTGGATTGCATCTGTAGGTCCTTCAAAAGGGAGGCCTGATCGTTCTCATTCCCTTCTCATATTTCAAAAGGAAAGCAGCCCAGTGGGTCACTGTGCCCATTCTGTAGATAGAATGACTGAGGCACGGAGAGCTGGAAGGGAAACAAGTATCCTGAGGTCAAAAACCTCTAGGTGGCTGCAGAGAAGCTAAAGGAAATCTCATTGGGCATTCTAGGGGACACAGCTCCCTAGCACAGGGCTGTGATGTGAGCATAGGCTGGACTCCCCCTTCCGAGGCTGTCACCCTCATAGTCCATTTCCCTCCCTGAGAAGTCAGGCTCTGTCCTTGTTCATGGGCGGCTGGCAGTGACACTGCACACATGACAGACCGTGACCTGGTATCAGATCTTGATTCCAGGTGACCACCACCCTGGTCCCCTTCCCGTGTAACTCTGCTATGTCATGCTATTGGCCCCATTTCTTGGATCTCTACGGAAGCTGGCATTGTCTTGGGGGCTGGCTCTGGGAGCCCCAAAGCCCTGAGGCCCTATAAAGGATCTTTCAGGACAGAATGAGAGGCAACAGGGAAGGAAAATTTGTTCACTTAGGAGCTTGCTCCTAGCAAAGCAGGGGCCTGCCTTTGAGTGTAAGGTCGGTTCTTCCAAGTTCTTCCTTAGGGACTCACCCGCTGCCAAATGTACCTCCCACACCACCACTGCAGTGTGAACCAGAGCAGCAGGAGACAGTGAGTCTCAGGGTCAGTTTGCCATTGGCCAGGATGACAGACTAGGCTGAGGCAGAGGTAGACACTTCATGGAGTTTGAGGCCACCCAAGGCTAAATAGTAAGGCCCTGTCTCAAAAAATAATAAAATAAATAAACATAAAGACTTCAGGGACTCATTGCCCTTTCCATCCTGTATCTGCAACCCTTAGAATACACGGAGTCTTGCCTAAAGGTGAAGGAGAGACATGCTTGCCTGCATAGTCCCCTTGGCTGACAAGAGGCCTCAGCTTGTCACTGCCACCCACCCCTGAGCAGCCCAGTCTAGCACAGAGACCTCCATAAGAGGGTTGCCGCCCTTAGATGCAGGATTCTGACTGCTACCAGATTGCTGGGTAACTTCGGGCCCCCTTACTTTCCCAGGCCTTACCTATTCCTTCTGTATCATGGGGTGACCTTGTGGCTGCTGGAAGTGGAGACTGCCTGTGTCTGAGCTGCCGGGTGACTCAGCAGGGCCCTGGGTGTCAGCTGGAGAGAGCCTCGTTATTTGTGGCTTTTCTGCTGTTCTCATGGTGTGTGGATCTGATGGACATCCAGCTTAGCAAGAGAGACAGGGAAAAGGGGAGAAGGCTTAGATGTCCAGGCTTCTGACCCTGAGAGGTCATGTTCTGGGAAAGAAGCCGGAGGCTGGACTGTGGGGTTGTAGGTGAGGCGTGTGCACCCTATGAGCTGGTTTTGGAAGGAGTGGTGAGTGAGGCTTCAGAATGCTGGAACAAAGAACTAATTGTGATGCCTTTGACCTGGGACATGGTGAGCGTGTTGCAACATTTCCATTGGCATTGTTGGGCCTCCCATTTGGTGCAGGCCTCTGCCTGTGTGCCCTTTTACTTAGCTGGGAATCGTTCAAATGGAGGGTCCATGGAGAGACCCAGCAGCCTCTGGCTCTGCCTGTTTATCAAAGGCCCCTTGTGACCTAAACTACAGCCACAAGGCAGCATGGGGTGTGGGACATGGCAGCACTCTGTGGCTGTCACCCACCTAAAGAGATGTGTCTGCAGGATGATACCAAATCCATAAACAGTTAAGTGCCAGGCCCCTGGCTGAATAGGAGAATTGTACCAGTTTCATGGAATAATCCTGTGTGGTAGAAGACACTTTAACCATTTTGAAGCTAAGGTAACAGACAAAGGGTTTAGGTGATTCTTGGAATCCAAAAGCCGAGGTCTCTCCTTCCCAGAAGGCCCCAGGGGAGGCTGAGATGTACTGATCTTGAGTGTTTAGTGGTAAAGTGTGTCAGTGGTAAATGCATTAGAGACATGGACTGGTCAAGATGATCAGAGATCTCCCTGGAACATCCATGCTAAAAGATTTCCCTGGGATCCTGCTGGCAGGGCGTTCATAGGCAGTGCAGTATTAGTGATTAAATTGACCCTTTGAACTTGGAGGCAGGCATCAGTTGAGAAGATCTCAAGAAGGTAATGTGCTCCCCGAACTAAGGATAACCCATCTCAAGAAACACATATATGGGCAGAAGTCGCACACACCTTTTTGATCAAACAGGAGGTGCCCATCCACACAGGAAGACTCCTCCCCCACTGGTCAGTAGGACCACACAAAGCAGAAAGATGCAGTGTTGGTGGCTTACCATCCAGCAAGCCATGCCAGGGCCTGCAGCAGCCACTGTTTCTTTAGAGAACCCCCTTGACCCTTCACCCTTGACCTCAGCAATGGTACCTGAAATACCTCCTTATAGGACATTCTTGTGTCTCAAAGCCCCGTACTAGTGTAACCTCTGCGGACAGATGACTTTCGGGTCCTGGTGGCTGGTTTCTGTGTTGAGCGAAGCTGCTTGCAACTTTCCAGGGTTATTTCCTTCTAAGAGTGCAGCCAGGGCAGGGAGTGTGGAGATGAGTCCACAGAATTTCTCCTGCCTCAGCTTCAGTCCTGTCCTGTGAGCCTTTTACTTCCTGGCATTGGCATGGCACACTGAGGGTTCTGATCCTTCCTTGGAAACGAAGGATTTTGAGTTCCTCATAGATCCGTCCACTTTCCCAGTGAGAAAACTAAGCCTCGGAAATCTCTACCCTCCAAATCCAGTGCTTTAGTAATTGATCTGTGACTAAAGGCTGGTAATTCTGTTAACTTTTTCAAGAGACTGTTGAAAGACTACGGGAAAACCTCACTGAGGCCAAGAGTGAAGCGTGAATCCCAGCCTTGGGGAAGCTGGGACTGTGACCATAAAGATACCGGCAGGTTAACTGCTCACTGAGGTCTTTCTTCCTGTATAGAAAATATGCACCTTCTCTATGTGTCCTAATGTGTGTGTGTGTGTGTGTGTGTGTGTGTGTGACAGAGAGAGAGAGAGAAAGAGAGAGTAAGAGAGAGAGAGAGAAAGAGAGAGTAAGAGAGA